AGGAATTATACTGGTAGGAATAGGCAGATCCATGGGGTCCATGCATGGCTCCAATGCTGGTGCAAGCAAAAAAAAAATACTGGGTTTTTGACTGTGGGGTGATCTATTCACCACCTTGTCTACACACACCTGACAGGATGAGCCATTCTCAGAGGGGAAAAGGAGTTCTAGCACAGGAACTAGCAGGGCTCCTTGATAGAGCTTTAAACTACTCTGGGAAGGGGAATGGGAGAATACCAGGCTGGCCAGTGATGAACAATGGCATTGTGTGCCAAAACGTGAGGAAAGGAGCAGTAAGGGAACCCCTCAATCTGCTTCACAAGTGTTGGCTGCAAAGCACCACTCGTGAACATGTTTCTATACCAATGAATGCAGCTTGAGGAACAAGCAACAGTGACCTGGAAACTTTCGCCAGGTGCCAGAGACTCGATATCGTTGGCATAAATGAAACTGGTGGGACAAGTCCTGTGACTGGAGTGCCCTCTTGGATGGTTACAGGCTCTTCAGGAGGAAAAGGCAGGGCAGAAGAGGCAGGCAGGTGGCACTGCATGGAATAGAAGGGTTGGAATGTATGGAGATGTAATGGCACAGTTGAGAGCCTCTGGGTGAGAATCAAGGGGCAGACAAATAATGTGGATGTCACCATGGGCATCTACTAGAGACCCATCACTGTGCTCTGTACTATTCCCTCCTCAGTTTTCCTTCCTTCATTCTTATTTGTCCTCTCTAGATCCTGATCTTAGAACGGAGGCTTTTCTCCTGCTCTAGTTTTCATCTTGAAAAACCCTCAGAGAAATGTACAGACTGTAATGGGGAAGAAACATTACATGTGCATTTGTGTCCCATCACACACAAATGTGGGTGCTAGAGGTGCTATACCTAGGCTATCAGAATTCATAAAGTAAAACTCCTCCTTGGTAAGGTAATTGCAGAGTGGAATTCTGGAGGATGTACTATGATCATAGCTAGTCCAACAAAGGAATTTTTTCTGAGCAAAAAGAAAGAAAACAGAAAGGCAAGGCTATGGTCTAATGGGTCCCCCCCAAGTTGAGATATTCCATCATTCTATGATAGCATGGACTCAGTATCAGCAATTGCTCCAAGAGTCCTGGTCTCTATTTTAACATTTTTTCCCTCAGCCATTCTCCTCCACTAGGGTGAACACAATCAATTGCTCATTTTAATAGATCTTTGTCAGACTTGTTTTCTATATCTCTGCTAGGTACAATATATCAGGGTGACTAACTCCCACTTTCCTTACCTCATTTGCCTCATACTGCTATCATCTTGTAAGAGGTACATAATATTTCTGTTCTGATGGAAATTAAAGCGCCAGGGCATCTTTTAGAATAGGGAATTATTAATACTGCTAACAAATCCTGTAGGGTATGGTCTAGTTTGTCCTTCACAGTAGAATGCAAAAATTGTCTCTGATCAGGTGCCCACTTACACTGTGGACAGAAATGTAATGCTGGGTCATTAATAAAGGAACTCATATCAGACTCTGACTTGTAATTAAAAATTACAGAAACCTAATGCTGGCACCAGGAAAGATAAGATTTGTACTTAGCCCTCATAAGTGTATTTCAGCATCTGTTCCACAGAGATTTCTGTCAAATATTCTACCTTCTTTCCACCTCTTTGATACAGGCAGCAAACAAACAGAACATAAAGAGGGGGACAGAAAACTGACTACCAAGATGAAGACAAACACCTTGAGGTCTGTGCCTGAATGTAATGGTATCTGACCTCACAGATCAGCTCTTAAAGCTTGTAAAATACATGACTACATACAGCAAGTCAGGATAGCACATATTGTAGAACGAAGATACACAGGAATGGCCATTAAAAAGTTAATCATTAAAGCCATGCCTGCTGACATACAAGTTTGATCTTATTTTCCCTCTATTACCTGGATAAGACAAAAACAACAACCTCCTGTCTGAAATAGATACAAAAATCTGCACAGCAACAAGATCTCAGTATCAACTCCCTACAATAATGATATCCATTCCAAATGTTTTGCAGAGGTGCCAGCTCCCCATGGCCCTTAACAACTGCAAGCAGGGCAGACAGAAATTCTCATTACACATCAGTGGTGGGTTTGCAGGTCTGGGGGACTAGAGCATCACATGGATGTTTTAAGGAAAAATAACAGTACATATTTGAAAGATCTTTTTACAACCATTGTGTAGGTTATCCACTCAAAAGCAGACTCTAGACACATCTTCAGAGCCATGAAGTGCCAGCACAAGTAGCACATTTACGTCCTTAGGTGTGAGATGAAATCATAAGCCATCTGTATGGAATGCTATCTAGGAAGCAGGTGAATGAATTCCTTCTTTGTTACAGGACTTTTAAAATGTGTTGGTTTCAACTTCAAACACTGCCAACCCTATGGGATATCTCCCATAGAGCATTCATCCTCTGGAAGTGCTTTCCAGCCCTTGTGCAATGCAGAAGACAGAATGGGAATCAAAGTCAACTACTCTGTGTCCCAGGAGTTCTGTACAGTGGGTCTGCCTGCACGGCCTACAGAGTATTTTTGGTTTTGGCTGAGCACTTAAATCAGCCCACCTTGGGGCTGAAGAGAGCACTGCAAGGCACAGGAAAGCACATGAAAATCTTGGAGAAGAACTGTATTCTTCTTCTACGGCATCTGGTGGGTGCCCTGCTAGGATAACAGGCATGAGGGAGGGTAGGTTTAGACCAGATATTAGGAAGAAATTCTTTACTGTGACAGTGATGAGGCACTGGAACAGGCTGAGGAGGAGTTGTTGATGCTCCATCCTTGACAGCATCTGAGGTCACTCAGATGTGGCTATGAGAAATTTCCTCTGGTGAGAGGTGTTCATGCCCATGGCAGGGGGGGTGGTACAACATGATCTTTAAGGTCCCACGTAACCAAGGCCATTCTGTGATTTTGTGAAGGACATGTGAATCTACCATAGAGCCGAATGTGCCACGCTTGAGTCTACAGAGCAATGCCCTCCTCATTCATGAATGTTACACTTTTTTCTGATCATGTCCAGTCCTTTTTGCTAATCCAAATGTCAACAAATGTCTTTTCATTAAATAATACATATATTTTCACACACACATATAAACTTTCTCAATAGCCAAAGAGCTGACTTCTCCTCATTATAGCATTCTAAAAGGCTAGAGATCCAAGAAGGGGGTCTATGTCATTAGTGGCCGTCTTCTAGGAAATTATCGCATTCCTTAGGTTTGCAAAAGTGTCTTCACACAGAAGGAAGATTCCTTTCAAACAGTGGGGGTTAGATCACAGTCGGGCTGCTCATCTCAGCCTGGTCCTCCAACAAGCTCTCGCTCATCCAATCCCTGCAATACATCACCTTTTAAAATGTCTCATCAGAAAACAGCTCTGGAAGAACCTGAAGAGCCTAGGAGGTGTGAAACCACCTACAAACCTGGCTACACTGGAGTCAAGCAAATGGGTCCTTGGGGAAAAAAATCCTTTCTTGACAGGCGTTCCCCTTACTACTCTGGTGAAAATAGCTCTGAAAATAAATCCAGTATCACAGACAGTAAAGCTTCAACCCAGAGGGACATGTGTCTTTATCCACCACATTTTCACTGACTTTGCATTTGTTTTATTTTAGCTTTTAAAAATTTTTAACCTCTTTGCAAATATCGTGGTGTGAATGGACACCAGGTCAAATGCTCCAAACTGGCAAAAAGGAGACTCTGAGGAAGCCCCAGCAGAGATGCAGATCTCCTCCCTCCAGACCTGCCAGAAGCAACTGGAAGAAATAAACCAACCTTTCTGAGCTCTCTGAGCCTTTCAGGCAGGGAGGGCAGGCAACGACCCAAGGGCAGAGTCACTGATAAAACTGAAGTCCCTGGAGGACTTCTGCCCCGTCCGTCTCCCTGCCGCTGTCCAGCTCCTCCCCTCAGCACTCCCTGTGCAGCATCCAGCCCCCGACACTCATTAACCAGCGCTCTCCAGAGACGGCGCCGCGCCGGGACTGCTCCCGCTCCACGCCTGGCGGATCCTGCAGCACGCCCGGGCAGCAGCTTCCCTCCAGCCTGCGACAGCGACAGACACGGCTCTGCTACGACCACATGGCCACTGCGGGAAAAGTAAGGACAAGGCATTTCCCACCCTCCTTTCCGAGGTGCCCTGCTCTTGGCCAAGTCCGCGGCAGAAGGCTCAGCCTGCACAGCACTCCGCGGGCCCTCTCTCCTCCGACCTTACTCCCCCTCCTCTCCCAAAACTCTGAGAATGTCACCAGACTCTGCATCCGGTAGCGCATTCCCACTTTGTCCTGCCCGGCTGCTCAGGAGACAAAATTTGCAATTGTGCTGCCCTGTGCACCCTCCTGCTCAATCCCACCCCGAGCTCCTCTTCTGGCAGCAAAGGCAGCTCTCCAGTGGTGCCCTCTTCAGCCGCTCACCTCCTGCACTCAGCCTTGTCCATGGCAATACCCTTTTCAGGCTGCAAGCCCCATCTTGCTGATGCCAAACTGCTTTGAATTGAATTGGGGAAGGGTTTGTGCCATGTCACACGCAAATCAAACCTTGGTAAAGGAAAGAAATTATCCAGGTACCAATCAGATGGGGACAATTCCATAACCCCTCTCTCACCTTCAGCCCAGTGTGTCACAAGGTTGACATCAAAGCTCTCCATTGACACTTCCACCAGGTAGGGTCTGCAGTGGTCATCACAGCAGAGTCTGGCCAGTAACACATGGGGATATTGTGAAAAATCCACCAAAGCCATCAGAACCCAGTAGCTTTCCAAGGCTACACCTGATACTCTTTGTGTCACAAACCACAAATGGGGTTTCCTCAGACCCTAAACTAGGCCAGTCTTTATTGAACAGCACTTGGTTTCAGGTGCAGCTGAGCATCACCAGGTTTGAGCACCTCGGGTTTAGGTGATTGCAGGATGACTTCCCCCAGCTGTGGGCTTTTAAAGGCAAACGTTCCCATGCAATGTGTTCCTCTTGCTTGTTTCCAGGTTATCAGGTGCAGGGCTGCTGTTGCCTGGGCCCCGGGCAAACTCTCTGTTGAGGAGGTGGAAGTTGCACCCCCAAAGGCAGGGGAAGTCCGGATCAAGGTAAAAATACATCTCAATAACTTTTTCTTCATTCCTTTTGGGAATTGCTCCTCTTGTGGTTATAACTTCAGTAAAACTCAGGGATCTGTGTCCTCCAAGAGGCTTTCATTGCCCAGAGCTGCCTTGGCTCAAATGCACTATCTTCCAGGAGCTCCTTTTTGGACTAAATCTTGTCTAAGCTGTCACATAGGAACTTGGATTTTTGGACTAATTCTTGTCTAAGCTATCACATCCTGTCTCCAGCCCTTGCTCTACTGGACAGGGCTCTGGTACCCACACTGTGGCCTCCCCTCCTCTTCCACCTGCAGCTCAGTGCAGAGGAAAGCCACATGGAGCAGAGTGAGCAGAAGGGGAAAGCCCAGCCTGGGCTCTGTATGATGCCACAGAGTGCCAGCACTGACTGAGGGGCATCAGAACACCCCTGGGAAAGTTGCTTCTACAAACTGAGTTAGACAGAGGCCAGAACATCTGCTTGTTCCTCTCCAAATAGCTTGTGGCCACAGGCATCTGTCGCACAGATGAACACCTTCTGCAAGGCTGCTTTCCCAATGCAGAATTCCCAGTAATCCCTGGCCATGAAGGAGCTGGAATTGTGGAAAGCGTTGGAGAAGGAGTGACCTCTATGAAACCAGGTAACTGACACACACATACAAACACATGCCCAGGAATCAGCTCTCACACGGGCAGCATCCTTAGACCCACATAACATGGGATATTGTTTTCTTTCAGGTGACAAAGTAATCCCACTTTGCCTCCCTCAGTGTGGAGAATGCAGCTTCTGCCGGAATCCTGAATCCAACTTCTGCCAGAAGTCTCAGTAAGTTTACTTTGCCTTCCCCTACACCTACATGGGATTGACTTTATGACAAATCTGACACCCCCATCAGCGCTTCACTCAATCAAATACAAATACTTGCGTCTCCTCCACAGTATCTCTGAACCACAACACCTGCTGCCGGACAAGACCACCCGCTTCTCTTGCAAAGGGAAGCAGATCCATCATTTCCTGTGGGTCAGCACCTTTGCAGAATACACCGTGGTCCCAGAATACACTGTTGCCAAGATAGATGCTGCAGCACCTCTGGACAAAGTCTGTTTGTTTGGCTGTGGGTTTTCCACAGGGTATGGGGCTGCCATCAACACAGCCAAGGTTGGTATTCAGGTGTGTTTAGCACACCACAGCCACCCTCACAAGCTCATCAATCCTGTACAAAAGAAACTTTCTTCTTCCTCCTCCTCTTCCCGCTGGAGACTCATAGGCTCCCATCTGTGCAGGTAAAACCAGGCTCCACCTGTGCTGTTTTTGGACTTGGAGGAATTGGCCTCTCTGTTGTCATGGGCTGCAAGGCAGCTGGAGCTTCCCGCATCATTGGTGTGGACATCAACAAGGACAAGTTTGCCAAGGCCAAGGAGCTGGGAGCCACCGACTGCATCAACCCTCGAGACTTCCAGAAGCCCATCCAGGAGGTGCTCACTGAGATGACCGGGCAGGGCGTGGACTACTCCTTTGAGGCCATCGGGCACAAGGACACCATGGTAGGTGGCACTTCAGCACCTGTCCTCCCTCCCAGATCATCACAGGCCCCTCTCAGGGCAAAAATCACCCCCATGGGAAGTTCCTCACAGGCTGCCTGCACTGCTGGGCATATCTTTCTGAGAGAAAATGGCACGAATCTTAAAAGAGCCCACAAGCTCCCCAGGTCTGCTCCACCAGGGGGGATATGTGTTTTCAGATTACCAGGGAGGAGCAAGGGATTGCACAAAAAGAGGACTCACATGACCAACTCATCATGGCTTTCTCTCATTCTCCTGCCTGTCCCATCAGATTGCTGCCCTGGCTTCCTGCAATATGAGCACTGGTGTCTGTGTGATGATTGGAGAACTGGATTCTGGTTCGGAGATTTCCATCGATCCCACACTTCTGCTGACTGGGCGTACATGGAAGGGGACTGTGCTCGGAGGTAGTGAACTTAAGAATGCACTCTAAATATTTCAGCTTTTCCTCTCTTGGCAGTTGACAAATCATAGTAAAAGAGGGTTTTCAAGGAAAAGACAATAAAGAGGAGCACTGCATTGCCTGTATTGAACATTAGCATTAGACGTGAAAATAACCCTCCACCTGTGTCTCACAGTAACCCACTCATCTCAAAGAGCAGAAACCATCTCACAAGGGTGTGGCACCAGTACTGGTCACTAGTCCTGACTAGTCCTGACCCTGACAGTAACACTACCTTACCAAAACAGCCTTTCTCCCAATATTCAGGCAGCTGCTCTCTCCTGTTTCTAGGCTGGAAGACGAGAGAATGTATCCCCAAATTAGTTTCCAGCTATTTGGAGAAGAAATTCAATTCGGACTTGCTGATCACACACACGCTGCCATTTGCTAAAGTGAACGAGGGATTTGAGTTGCTACGTGCAGGAAAAAGGTGAGACCCTGACCAACAGGAGGTTCAGCAAACCTCAGCACCTTCTCCTAAAATTCCAACAGGCAGAACATGCAACACTGGCTTCCCAAAGAGCACCCGAGCCTTTTGAGGAAGCGGGGCCTCCCAGCTGAGTGCTGGCAAGTTGTGCCATAGCCCAGAGGGAAGAGCCCATGTTCAGCACAGGGAACCCTCCTGCTCATGGTTCAGCTCAGCACAGATCCTGTGGCCTTATCCCATGAGGGGCTCCCCTCAGCAAGGATTTGAAGGCTTCCCCGCTGCTGCACGCCTCATGTAGCTCAGTCAGGAAGAGCTTGGATGGCAGAGAAGGTGGCCGGTCCCCAGGCACACCTGCCTGCCACACTGCCTGCTCCTGAGCTGCAGCCAAGCCTCCCTTCCCTTCCACGTTTCAGTATCCGCACTGTCCTGCTCTTCTGAGGGACGCGGCCTAGGAAGCTGAGCGGAGGGACCAGCGCAGCAGGTGCTCTTCTGGCCCGGGCCCTTCTCAACCAGCACCTCCCTTGTGGGGCACCAGGAGAAGAGAATGAGGAACTCACCTGTGCTGCTGTCACTGCTGGTCCTGCTGTGCCCAGACAGGACAGAAAAGGATGTCTCTCCCAGGAAAATGCTTTTACTAATAAAGGCTTTCTGTGAAACTTGTCCCATGCCGTGCACTCAATGAAAAGCGTTTCCAGGGGACAGGGGGAGCTCCCCCTCACATCACATCTGTTCTACCACACCCTTGTTGTCAGCAGTGAGCAAGAGCCTTTGCCCCTCCTCTGCTGCTGCCTCCCACCTTCATCTCCCTCAGAGAACTGGGCCCTCACCTCTCTGCCTCTGTCCCAGATGGGCGAATGGTGCAACTTCCAGCAAAGCCCAGCAGGGAAACCACCTCTGCTGCTGCTGCTCTGAAGCATATTATAGAAAGCAGTAGATAACTTTCTTATAATGATGTAACACTCATAGAGCATCCATGGATGCTGTTTCATTTTTGGCAAATGTTATTGTACTTTTAATTTATTTTCCACACCAAGTCCCATGGTATATTACAGTACAACTCTGAAAAATCTTCCCCATAGGACAGGTTTGTCACTTCAAATGGTCATTCTGCTAAATCAATTCTTCTTTCAGTGCTGAACATTTGACCCACAACACTACTGTGCCTTTTGACCTCTTTTATGCAACACAGCCCTTTGAACTTCTGGAAACCCCTTAGCACAATCAGCAATTACACAGAATACGATGAACACACAAATGAGTTATCAAAGGTAAACAAATCTCATCCTGTCCACCAATTTTTAGTACCTTCTGCACATATTACTCTGCCGTGAGATAAAGTTAGCTATAATTCTCCTAACTACAATTTAAACATAAGACAATAAGAGTGGCAGTAATGAGTCAACATCAATATAATTCAATAAATGTTAATTAACTGAGTTCTAGCACACCCCTATAGAGAAAACTCCAAGAACTTCCAATAAACAATGTTTCCCTATACTGCACATGCATCTGCACAGTCTTAATTTTATACAGGTGGTAAGTCTCAAAATGTAATCAATTTGCCAAGTATCTGTCTAACATATATAAACACATAGACCTGTGCAGGACTGAGACAAAAGATAATAATTTTTCCTTTTTGGAAAAAATCTAGACCTAGATGAAAAAAAAAATCGGTCACTATTAAAAATTCTGCCTACAGTAAATTGTAACTTGCACTTTACCAATTCTTTTGAACTGCTGTTACATGAAAAATTGTGTAAGCCCTTCTGAGTACTGAGGAGCTCTCCGCTACAGCAGGGCCACCTGGTGGTCACCTGTCCCTGCTCTCCGGGCATGCTGCCTTGGATCTCGGAGATCCTCCTGCCCCTTCGGCAACAATCACTAACTGGGCAGGACTTCAAATTTTAGCAGATAATTAGAGAGCTCCTCAAATTCTTCTTGATTCCTAAAACATCACTTGTTTCACAGCTGGCCAAATAATCACATTTGAAAGCAAAGACATTTATACAAACCAGAAGAAAATGCTGCCAAGTGCAAAGAAGGAGGTGACAGCACAACACTTTCAACTTTCAAATTTCCCTTGCATAGTTATTTTAATATTAACATATTAAAATCAGCACTTATTAGATCTAGATCAGCTTTTTGTGCTTTATTTGGTTTTCAGCGAATGCAGATACCTGAGAATATTTAATCACCAACTCCCCAAATTACTTATTTCCATATCTAAAATATTAAACATCTTTCAGCATCCCAGCTTCATGTGTCTCTACTGCAAAACTGTCATGGTCACTTTCACACTTATTCTGAGTACATCAGATTTGTTTTGAAAAGGTATTTTACTCTACTATACTTTGGAATTATACTAGGATCAATTAGTGAAATTATTCCTAAAGTTTTTTCTTTGGAACCAACCATTTCTTGAATTACCAGACAATATTAGATTTATATTTATCTTTACAAAATATTGCAATTACCTAAGAATTACCCAAAGAAATACCAACCAGCTTTGAGCATTTTTGAGCACAAGTATTATCCTCCAGTACTTCACAGAAAAATGTAGGAAACTTAAATCAGAATTCAAAAAGATGGCTTTGAAAGCAATGCCCCACAAAAATAGAGTTACACTCAAGCATCCACTGCTGGAACTAGTGCATAGGTTACCCCAGCTCTAAAAGGGTTGCTCTAATGAAATATTTCCATCAAAACTACTGGTTTGATTTGGAAAATTAACAGTATTAATAGAAGGGAAATTAGCTGTGGGTCAATCTAGGACCATATCTACTTGGGGAAAACAAACCAGGCAACATTTGTATTAATGCATTTCAGTTTTGCTTCTGGGTAGACTTGTCAGTCTGCTCCAGCCTGCCTGTGCCTTGCCAATCTGGTCACCAGCAGCTCCAGTGCAAAGCAGCAGCTCCTCCTTCTGAGGGAGGCGCACAGCCAGCTTCTGGCACTCACACTGGCCCAGGATGGGCACCCTGGCACATCACTTGCATCTTCCTTCAGCCATACACTGCCTCCCAAGCTTGCAAGTGATTTCTTCCCCCACATCTTCTTGTGCTTCAAACTTAAATTAAGGTACAGAAAAACTAATGCCTCTAGGGTGGGAGAAAACGTAATACAGATTCCTAGTTGTTTTGGACTTTTCTTCCCACGTGACAGACCACATCTGCCAAACAAGAACATGATTGCCAGATCTCCCTCCCACAGGCTCAGAGTGCTTCCAAGCCCTCCTCTTTTCCACATCCAAGCTGATGCTCCTGATTAACATGTAACACCTGACAGAACAACACCAAAACCAAATAAATGTAAAATCCAGAGCAGCAGTGGAAGTCCTCTCCTACAGAACTTACCTACATAAACCTGAAACATGTGACAAAGCATGGATAGTTTAGTCAAGATCATGGAGTGGTAACTTGATTTGCTTGCATGGTGCTGAGAACAGAAAGTTAGTTGCAAAACCACTTACAGTATCCAGGGGCTTCCAAGAGCACATCTGGGGGCAGCATCACAAAACTGCAAGGGAAGAAAAGATGAAAAAATAAACAACTTCTTTCATCTCTGAAACTGGACAATGAGTGCTAAAGAGGTCTGATTTATGTATCTGTCCCTTTGTCCACCAGAATCAGTGCCTACAATTTTCAGATACTAAAAAAAGCAGAGCATCTGTGGAGTTTAGCTAAACATAAAATGCTTGGAGGCTTTTTGGAAGCACTGACAAATCAGGGGTGGCCAAGAGCGTGAAATTAGCGAGAGGTTGGCAGAGCTGAATTTAACCAAGGAAATTGACAAGGCCTGTGTTGATTTCAACAACAAGGTGTGTAACCTATATATTACCTTCATATGGCCATATTACCCTCCAATTCCATGGCAGCTTTCATGAGCCTACAGATTTAGTTTCTCATTTTAGTTTTGTTCTTAAATGTTACTTTCATGTTATTTTCTAAATGCCATAGCTGCTTATGTCCTGCTACTAATTTTCCAAATGCTGGTGCTGTTGTCTATCTGTGATATTTGCTAAGCTTTTGTTAGCATGTCATTGGAAATTAAAAATTCCCTTTCCTACTGAGGGTGACTTAGTTACACCCTGCCATTCCTCGAGCACCATCACCTCTTGTGGAAAATCCCAACAGCTCAGGGCAGAACTGTTCCCCTCATTTTACACAATCATGTCTGCAGACCTCACAAGAAGCCCTTCCTACCCTTCCTGGAGAAAGACTGTTTTTCAGAAAATGAAACAACAACATGAGCCAGTGAATGATCCCATCTTGCAGCAATAGCTCCTTTGCTTCAAAGGCTGCTGGATGGAACGTCAAGAAGCCCAGTCAAAATTTCCATCCTACTGCGGATCCCTTCACCTACCCTGGCAGTGCACTGCCTTCACCCAGCCTGAAGTAATGTCTCCACATTGGCACCCAGGAAAGCCTGCACCATTGCAGTTTGTCCAGCCAAGAACAGATTCAGGCACAAAGGACATGGTTCTGCAGCCATGTTCGGCTTCCCCCTGTGCCCAGGTGGGACGTAGGCGGTATCAAGCACCCCAGAACGGGAGCCAGGGCGGCATTCCCCCGCCCGGGGAAGGCAGGCACACCCAGGCACTGCTGCGGCCCTCAGGGAGCGGCGCAGAGGCGGCCGTGGCTTCCGTTAGCTGCGAAGGAATGTGGGCAACCAGGGAGAACAAACCCATGGGCCGGGACAGCGGGCTGCTCCCTCACGGGCACAGTAACGTCCATCTGCCGGCCGGACCAAAGGAGCCGCGATGGAAGACACTGGTGCAGCCACAAACCCGGCCACACGGCAAGGCTACACTGCGGGCACCCTCAGGAAACACAGAGACCTTGGCCCGCACCGCGGTCTGCGGGAAGAAAAGCCCACAGGGAGCCGGCGACTGATCCAGCGCCCCCGTGCCCTACAAGGGTGGGAGGCGAAGAAGAGAGGAAGGAGCCACTTCCTTCGCCCGCCCCTGAGAGGAGGCGGAGAGAGAGGCAGCGGAGAAGGAGGCGGGCTTCCCTTCCCCTTCCGCTGGCAGCCGTAGCCGTGCGCGATGGCGAGCGGGGTGAGCCTCTGCGTTCCGCGGCGGGAAGGTCGCCCGGGGGCGGGCGGAGGGTCCCGTACCGGGCAGGACGAGACGAGCGAGCCCTCCCTGCCCTGCGCTGCCGTCGCTGCCGGGGCCTCGGGCCGGGCTCGCCGTCGCCTTTCTGGCCCCAGCGCTGGCCGGGGCTCTGGGGTTGTTTGGGTTCCTCCGCGCTCCTGCTCCACGCGTGTGAGGCGTGATGCGGGGTCGGTGCCGCTGCTCTGGCGTGGGAGGCTCCCGCTGTGAGTGTTTGCAGGATAGGAAGGAAAACACGCGTTCGCTCCCCGCCGTGTGTTGTACTCCAGCCCCGTGCGCGTCCTGGGGTCTGAGGCTGCGCTCCGGCCGCTCCTGGGTCGCGGCGTGGAGGAATGAGCAGAAGACCCTGAGCTTTGCGTGTTTCCTGTGGGTTTCGGGCAGGTGCGACCGAACCGGCTGAAAAGAAGGGATAAAACAAAACCTGCCTGCTCGCAAAGCCATTGCTGGCACGTTTGCTGCGCGGCTGTAGGAACAGCGCCATAGCCCAGACCTTGTGCCAGTATTTTCTGAGCTCTGTGCAGGCGGTCAGCGCCCGGGGCCCGAGCCGGGTCGGCGGCCGCGCCTGGCCGGACGCTGAAGCTGCTCCAGGCGGGCACTGGGGTTTGGAGCGGCTTCTGTCCCTGCCAGAGCTCGGTTTCATCCCGACTGAGGTAGCTGATGGTGTGTGGGGCCACAAGCATGGTAATAGAGGAAGTGAAGTACTGCTAGAAGTTGGTGTTTTGGTTTTTATTTCCAATTTTTTATTTCCAGTTGTTGGCTTCAAGATTTTCAGCAAAGCAACAGTGGAAAGTTATGAATAATAATAGGGCAGAAAAAGATGGGGCTTTCCTGATACCCACTCTAAATAGTCCAGGAGCCTTTGTGGCTGTATGGACTGATTGAGAAATTACTATTTCAAAATGTGCTTCCAGATGCATACCGTTAGTTTTAGACGATCAGGATTTATTCTGTAAGAAGACTTTTTTTTCTCCTCTCTGTCGTTAATTTGTGTTTAACTAAGCTTGTGGAAATCAAATTTTAAGAGTGTGCAGTCTCCCATGCAAGAACAAGTGATGACTTAATGAGGGGAGGATGAGGGGATGGATTGAAAACCAGTAAATGATTTACTGAATGATGGCTCCCCTTGCACTTTGTGCTTTGAATTTAGATTTTTTTTTTTTCTGGCAAAATCTTTGGTAGATTTAGAGATTATGACTGATGGCTCACCTTGTGATTCCACAGTTAGTTGCTATGGCGCATTCCGTGCATTTTTGTAATATTTACCCTGGTATTAAAAAGCAGGACAAGAAGATTTCATAGCTCTAGTTAGGGGTGTTTCTGTCTAATTTACACCCCTGCTGGCTACTGGAATAGGCACCTGTTTTCTGTTACAAAGCTTTTTTGGGTCTGTAGTATTTATTTTACCAAATTTAAGCCAAGATAGGTATCTAAGTTCTGCTATCACAGGTGCAGTGAGGATTTTAACTGGCTCTGGCAAAGCCTCGTACTGTTTATTGTACAACAGAAATACTGTTGTAAGAATGGCATAGACTAGCCATTATTTTCTGCTGATTACAGGTGATGCATGAGAGCTGGCAAGCTCAAAAGGTGCTCTTGGCACTGTAATTTCTTCCAGCAAGTGAAATTTCAAAAAGGCTGAGTAAATGTATTGCTGATCTTGGGAATTTACATTAATCCTCTCTTTCAAGCATTCCATGGGTACAGCACAGCTATTTTGAACACACAAAATGTCATGTTCTTCTCTTGGTTTATATTTCTAATAGCAATGGCTTAGACCTTGTCATCTTCATGAAACCAACCTCTAAGGGTAATCCAGATGCTTATCCTGAAGCTGCTCTAGAGCGTTTGGCTGTAATGCCTGCTAATTTTCTCAGTCACTGGTGTGTATGTAGCTGTCAATAGGATTTCCAGATCCAGAGATCCTGCTCTCTTATCCAGGCTCTCACCGTTGGGATTGAAAACCTTGCAGAGCAGGATTTGTTGTGGCACTGAGAGCAGTGAGTGAAGACTTGCTAACAGTGATCCCTGTGGCCCCAGCAGAGGTGTTAGAGCCTTACAGCAAAGTCCCTCTGGTCCCTCTGCATCGCTGGGGGCTCTGCATGTCAGCTGCATCTCCTTGCTGGAATCCTACTTGGAAACCATCCTGACCAGGAACAGGAAATTCAGTCTTGATGTGGTTCTCCACAGTTCCCTTTCTGAAGTTTCCAGCTTCAAGCACAGTGTTTAATGAACATACCTGAAATGAATGGCAGTCTTGGATGTTAAACCACCATTTTTTCATGCAGCCTTTCCATTCATGTTGCTCCCTTCACTGCAGCGTGTCTCCCAAGCACTCCCAGGCTTATTATATTTTTACACAGTAAGAGAATGACATCCAAATTTCAGATCTTGGCTTACTCATTATTGTTTAGCTTGCTGAAAGCAAATGTGGGGCAATTAAACCTTTGTGTTGAAATTATGAATTTCAGATCTGGGATTCTTTCCAAAAGCCACTAGTGCTGCTTTTATTTTCTCACTTGGCTGAACAAGAACTATTTTAAATTAACCATACAGCAGATGTCCTCTTATTTTTTCTTGTTCTTGTCTTTTAGGTTATTAAATGCAAAGCTGCTGTTGCCTGGGAGGCAGGTAAACCTCTCTCTATTGAGGAGGTGGAAGTTGCTCCACCAAAAGCTCATGAAGTTCGTATCAAGGTAATTACATCAGTTCTTACCTATATGTTTTCTATTTTAGGAGACTGAGTATTGAAGATGAATAGTTTGTTTGCCAACAGAAGAAATGTTGAATAGATGTCATTAGTTCATTAGTATCTCATCTGGCTTTACAGAGAAGAAAATGACAGTATTTAGATCTTCTGTTTATGGAAAACACTTTTAATTTCTACTAGTCTCACTTCACAGTCTGGTCTGAGGATAATGGCTAATCTTGAGAATCAGTTCCAGTTGTTACAGACCAAGTTCTCTCAAAATATCTGAGGCTGGGAGCACCTTTATCTTGTTTCAAGGACAGCAATTTGTCATTTGTCGCAGCTGTGCAACCAGCTGGATTTTACTTCAGTCAGGCCATAAGTTATTGGCTGCTGAGCTGGGATTGGTCTCTTGGATTCCCTATACCCAAGTTTCTGATTTCATCAGGACTTTCCAGGAGCCTGTGTCTGCCAAAAATTATACATTAATGTGAAAATTATTCCTGTGGAAAGGATTTATGCATGGTGCTGAAGACTTAAGCAGGAATTATGCAGTACTGAGAGTTCTGCACAGTCTGTCTGGAAATTTTACCTCTGAGTCTTAACTTATTTAAAATCTGAGATGTTAAACTACTTTGAGAGGACTTGGAGCACTGATTTCTAGCTATAGGAAAAGACAGGTCATCTTTTACCCCTTTCAATGTCACATTTTGGTTGATGGAAATTATAAAAATGTACTGTTGTGACTTTGCATTTTCAAAATAAGAAAAACTTGCTTGCCAGGAATTGAAAGTATGTTGCCCATATCCCAAATGCTGCCAGAACTTTGACCTGGCAATTGTTCCTTATTTCTGACTACAGGGAATTGTTTAGATCTGTGCTACTATTCTGTTCTTCAGGGTGTCTCAGATGATTTATTTCTTCACAGATAGTTGCCACTGCTGTCTGTCACACTGATGCCTATACTCTGAGTGGTGCTGATCCTGAAGGATGTTTCCCTGTGATCCTGGGACATGAAGGAGCAGGAATTGTAGAGAGTGTTGGGGAAGGAGTAACTAAAGTAAAGAAGGGTAAGGAAATAGCTTACAGGTTTTCTGCCTTCCTTGAAAGTGTTACTTTATTTGAAGACTCACTGTCAAATGGGGCCACTGAAATGCCATATTGCAGGAGTTAATACAGTATTTTATTCTGGGGTGTATGTCTGTGTAGATTTCTGTGGTCTGTGAGACAAATTTAAAGCTTGAAAGAGCCCAGAAGAGCATTATTTTACTTGAAATCAGATCAGTGTATAATTGCAAGAGGGTTGGGGGTTTATTATTTTTTCAAATTGTAGTTTTTATCTGTTGGTTTAATTAAAAGGCCTAAAGTGTTTAGTCTTGTTGTTCAGTGTTGATTTAGGGTTGTTTTGTTTCACAATAATGTTGCTACTTGTTCTGGAATGATGAATTTCAGATGGGTTGTCTGCTCAGCCAGGATTAAAGTTGTTTATCTGGCACTCTATAATACCTCTGTATACAATAAACAGCTTTTGGTACACAAAGGTTTTAAGTGAACTCAAGCTCACAGCAAAACATGCAGAATCAAGTAACTTCCATTTTTTTTCACAGTGCCTTGCTTGACTCAATAACTAGACACAGAACATTTTTTCCTTAGGGGACACTGTTATCCCTCTGTACATCCCGCAGTGTGGAGAGTGCAAGTTCTGTAAGAATCCTAAAACAAACCTGTGCCAGAAGATAAGGTCTGTATGACTTTGACACATGCTATGGTATTTGTTCAGTGTATACCTGCTGTAGTTAGCAAAAGCAATTGACAGGAGTTTTCTTTGAAGAATAAATCTGTTGATGCATCATTTAATGACTTGGAAGGCAGGTGTTTCAGGAGCCACTTAGTCTTCCTTAAAATTTCTATTCTTCCTTTAAATAAAACTGTTTCTCTCATTTCAAGTATGTGAAGGTGCAAACTACTACCTTGTGTCCACAGGTTGGAAAACATAAATGCTCTGACTCCATACTTAATCCATACTTAAGGGAACCACTTCAGGGAATGTAGCTCTGGGGAGTGAACACCAAAGCTCTCAAGTGGTACAAAATCATACAGGCAGCTCTTTTTTTTTCCTTAACACCTGCTTCCCAGATAAATTTGCAGCTCCTGTTCTGAAAAAAAAAATCTCCCAAACTCAAAAAAAGCCCCAGTGACATAACCTGACAGGTGCTGTTCAGGGGAGGGCACTGAAGGAGGCCAAGACAGTGGTGTGGTGCTGTGGCACAGGTAGCATTGGTAACTAATAAGGTCAACATGTGAGTAAACTCCATTTCTTTCAGGTTTTCCCTGGAGGAATTAACTGCATAAGGTTTTAGGAGTTTAGCATCTCACTTCTGTGAACTTCTAGGTTTACTAAAGTGGTCAGAATACAAAGGTGCAAGTATGCAGCTGCCTCTCTGTGCTGCTTGGTGGATTCCATCTGGTGAAAGTATTTGCTGCTTAAAGCTCTGCACTTTCCTGTCTTTGCCTCAAGAGTCACTCAAGGGAAAGGAGTCATGCCTGATGGTACCAGCAGATTCACCTGCAAGGGAAAGCAGATTTTCCACTTCATGGGGACCAGCACTTTCTCTGAGTACACCGTGGTGGCTGATATCTCCGTAGCCAAGATAGATGCTGCAGCACCTCTGGATAAAGTGTGCCTGCTGGGCTGTGGCATCTCCACGGGCTATGGGGCTGCTGTCAACACTGCTAAGGTAAAGGCTGGCCTTGTGGCACACACAGCTTAGCAACTACACTAGGACTGAAAAGGGGATGTACCCAAATCTGTGCTCCCTCTTCAACTGATGAAATTTAGCTAAGAATTTCTAACTTCCCCATAAGAGGCCAGATCAGGTTAGAAAGACCCCGTTGCCCTTTGGAGGAAATTCAGGTGGAGTATTCTGCACCCCTTTTGACAGCAGCTATATATGAATTACTTTTCTGGTTCATGTTCATCTTGCTGCATGTCATTCTGATAACCTGAAGCTCAGGGTGAGATGGAAGTGGTAGGTGTGTGGACATGAGTCTTCAGACAAAAGAAGGGGCGTAGTGCCTAAAGAGCTTTTAGAATTAAATTTCTATATAGCTTCCCTTGTCTATAAAATCTCAGAGCCATGTATATTTGCTTCCATTTTTCCTTTATTACAACCTCCTTAACCTGCATTTCTTCTTCCCCTGGAAGGATGAATTTTTTTTCTGTTGCTCATGATTCCTTTGTTACTCCTAGGTGGAGCCTGGCTCTACATGTGCCGTGTTTGGTTTGGGAGGCGTTGGGCTGGCGGTTATTATGGGCTGTAAAGTAGCAGGAGCATCCCGGATCATTGGCATTGACATTAACAAGGATAAGTATGCCAAAGCCAAAGAGTTTGGAGCTACTGAGTGCATCAGCCCCCAAGACTCCAAGAAGCCCATCCAGGAGGTTCTGGTTGAGATGACCGATGGTGGTGTGGATTACTCATTTGAGTGCATTGGAAACGTCGGAGTCATGGTGAGTGCTTGGCAAACAGGAGCGTGTGCAGGGAGGGACCAGTTCAGCTGAACAGCAAGATCAGCTGCTTTCTTAAGATAAAATATGCCAGATCCACTAATTTTTTTTTTTTCTTAATAATAATGATACCTGCTATGACTCATAAGGACAATTCACACTCAATCCTAATTATGTAATGAAAGCAGCTGCTACTTCTTGGGTTGAAAATGGCACTTACAAATGTTTTTTCCTTAATCAGACTTGTTTTGAGGTCCTGAGTTTCTCTGTGCTGACAGTTGAAATTACAAAACTCTTATAAAATCTATAGTGCAATGAACAGTAAAATCTCAGGGATCACTAAGCATTTCCCTAATTTCTCAAGTAATTAATTTCACCTTTGGAAATGCAGAAGTACTACTAAATGTAAGGCTGGATTTTCAGGAGTTACAGTAGCATTCCTTACTGTTGGTAATATGGTCTGTGATTACAGTTTATCCTGACTCTCAGTGGGAGTTCAGAGTGACTTCTCTGAAAGCCAGATAGGATATAAAAAGGGCAAAGTGAATCTTTAAAAGTGTAAGGGAATCTGAACCCTGAATGAAAAATATAATGTAATTTTCAGTGTATTTACTGTTCCTTAAATGCTGATGTGGTGATTCATTAACTGGGGGAAAGGAAGTGCTGCCAGTCCAGGCAGTGTAAACCTCAGCAATAAACACCCTGCTCTGTCCTGTCTGTCCATGAAGAGGGCTGCCCTGGAAGCCTGCCACAAAGGCTGGGGACTCAGTGTGATAGTCGGAGTGGCTGCTGCTGGCCAGGAGATCTCCACACGGCCATTCCAGCTCGTAACTGGGCGGACGTGGAAAGGGACTGCATTTGGAGGTAACTCTCTCTTGCTGTGGGGATAAAAATAATTTACTCTGGGCTAAAGCTGGGAAGAAAGCCCCCTTGGCTTTGCTTGTGCAAGAAATATACTATTGACAGGCTATTCATAAATGCTACGTTGGCTTTTAAGATAAAGACTCTTAAAATCTGTTATTCCTATAGAAAGGGTACAGATTAACACATTGGTATCATATCTAACATATTTTGAAGAGAGAATATATCTATATACTACTCAGTACTAAAGGAATGGGATAGGGAAACTGCTTTACCACCAAGTGAAGGTTTGGTTCAGTTCCATACAGTGAAAGGACCTGGTCTTTGGAGAGATGGGAACTTACATATTTGTGTTGCTTAACCACTAAGTAAATTGTGAGGCCAACATGACAAAACAAGTGCTTGATACACATTTTCTGCTGTCAACTCAAAACCACATTGAGTTCTTTTTTTTGAGAATTCAGTAATTGTTGAAGTTGATGGAAGTTCAATTTCAGACTTTGAATTATTACACTGCTCTTTGTCCAAGCAATAAAAAACTTACTGGGTTGGGTTATAAAGAATGTAGAGGGCCTGATAGAGATGCCATGTGTATACTTTCCTAGGTGAGGGCTGCCGTCAATGCTGAATGCTGGAACACCTAGTAAAAGATTTTTCACCAATACTTGTGTTTGGGTAATGTGTGCTTTTGCCAGACCTCTGTATGAGGGACAGACATGTCACTCATCTCTGCTCCTTTTCATATTGATCATACAAGTTTTGTTAGGGCTGTGTTTTTAATTTTCTGAGATGGGTGGAAAAGGGAAAAAACAAGGCATGTTTTCCTTCTTTCAGGCTGGAAGAGTGTAGACAGTGTACCAAAACTGGTGACTGAATACATGTCCAAAAAGATCAAGGTTGATGAATTTGTGACTCACACGCTGCCTTTTGACAAAATCAATGAGGCTTTTGAGCTGATGCATTCAGGAAAAAGGTAATGTTCACAATATTGAAAGGTATACAAGACACTTCTTGATCAGACACTGTCAAAGTACAGGCTCCCTGCCCACTGTCATATTTTAAACAGGGAAGCTAAAGGGTAACATATACCACATGCATTGATTCTGATAAAAACACACTTCTCTGACTTTCCAGGCATGTGCCAAAACACAGGCACACAGTAAAAGCAAGCAACAGTGTAAAAGAGAAATAGAGATGAAAAGCTGGTAAAGGGGACAGGTCAGTCTCAGGCTTTCACCATTGCTAAACATTCTCCCTTATAATAAGGAATTTAAAGAGACTGAAGATTATTCAGTAATATTTAGGATCCTCTGCAGATAGACAAATAGTTTTGACCACTGTCTCCAGAAACCAGCATGGTCTTTGTATTTGACCTCAATCCTCATATCTATCTATTGTATGTAACTTTGGAGAAGGTATTAGCTCTATCTGCTTCAGCTCATATGGATTCTATTTTGGATAAATCAGTCGACTGTATTTGTTACAATTGGAAACACTGCATTTATGCAAATTTCATCCAGCAGTTGATCCCTGTCCCAGTTACAAACTTCAGTATCATTTCAGTGCTTTATTCATACATGAGCATGTCCAAGGAAACTAATAATGAAAGCTACCTAACCTTTTCCAAACAGACAAAAGGGAGAATGCCTGTACATATTACTGCTCCTTGGCTACTACTGAAAAGTGACACCTAGTATGAAAAAGAGTTCATTTGGAGTTTATTTTACTGGAGGAGAGAAAGAAAAACTGAAGAGAACAAGCATTATCCTGGATTTTTAATAAATATCATAGGCATAAGCATGACTTCATTCATGACAAAAGACAGAAGTTAAAATATGTCTCAACAATGAAAGGGAGGGGAGAGATGGGGAGAAAATTGAGTTCTTGGTAATTTTTTTTCTTTTTTTATTTTAAGCATTCGAACTGTCCTGAAATTTTAGAGCCAAATATGGATCTTCTAAGTGGCCAGCACCATGCTGACTGACTGCCTTGTTATAATGGAATTTTTGACAGAAGATAGAATCAAGCAACTGAAAACTCACTGGGACTAGAAAGATGTGTATTTTAGGGTGAGCATTCTGGGTACTAAATAATAAACTGTTAATCACTGAATAGCATTATGGAATTAGTCCTGATTATGGAACTTCTGTTTCTATACTCATTCCTCAAATTCAATAGTGGCTAACTCAAATCGACTTAATAAAAGCTTATTTCTAAACCCAGTGTTGGAATTATTTAGCATTAAGAGTGACTGTGTCTTTCTTGTTTTCCTCTAGTGATTTCAGTGTGTATGTGACAGAGGGAGTGTTCTGCAGAGTCTGCAGCAAACGCTGTGGGATTCACTGCACAAGGCACAGCTGAGCACAGGGGTGAGAAGCAGCCTGCATTTGCTGCAGCTGTGCTGAGAGAGGGGCCAGAACTTGCCAAGATTCTGAGGCTATTCTAGGGCTACAGTGGATTGTAACTACATCCAGATCACCGTGAAGGCAAATGTAGAGCAGACTTTGGTGTCCAGGGTTACCCATGTTCACTGGGGTGCTCCGTGCTCTGCCTTATTTCTCAATGGTCTCTTTGGCAGCCTCTGGTAAAGATCATGGCACAAACTGCTCTGCTCACTTGCTCTAGTGGTGTCCTCCAAGGCTGCAGTAGGACAGTTGTCCCATTTCCTTAACTTACTGGCAAATGAAGCAAACTTTGCAGCCAACACTGCAATAACACACAGCATGGGATTGCCACCTCTAGTCAGAAACCTGATTGTGCCATTGAAGCAGGAAATACTACAATTAGAGCAAGTCTGCTCTTGAGGGCTGCAGGGGAACAGGAAAGAGCATTGCATGATGATGACTGCAGGGTTTCCTGGGATTTTTTTGTTGGAGGGGAAGGGGTTAAGTCTCAGTTTTGGAGTTGCAGGTTTTCTTAACTCTAGGTTTAGTGAACTGACTAGATAAGGTTCTTTTTGTATTGAAACCTGGAATCAGTGCCTCACATCCAGAAAAACATAAAGAAATAGCAGAAAATAGACTGCAAAGCAGAGGCAGCCCAGCCAGTTAAAAAAAAAAAAAGTTAGATACACAGAAACTCAGTGTTTCTCAGTGAATCAAGGACACTGATTAAGGGAGAAGTTTCATGTTTTAAAGAACTCTGGTCAAAATAACTTCTAGCAGAGAACACAGAATGCAAACAGTAATCTTATTAGAAGAAATTCCCTCTCACCACCAACAATTATTCCAAGCCACTGCTATATAACTGGGACAATTACATCTTTTCCATCTCTCACTAAAAAATATCCCCTACAGCATTCTGAAAGTAGTTGAGGTACTGCATTTCTACTTAATTTTAGACAGTAAAGAACAAATGTGAATGTCATAAGAATTCAATTTTGAGCATCAGGAGGAAATAAAAGTTGAATTGGTAACATAAAACTGAGCCTTTTAGCTCAGCAATGAGGTGACTCTCAATACCTTGTAGCTCCAGGAAGGCTGGCTGAACATCAGAAAATCCAGTAGAAAATTTGCTGTTAAGCTGTTCCAGTGAGAGTAGTCCATAATTAGAAGATTATATCAATACAATACTAGCTAACCTGGCAAACCACCCCCCAGCTGGATCTAACAGAGTTAACATACTTACACTGAACAGCTGTTCCTCTGTGCTGCACAGGCTAGATGAAAACCACAAAATCTTGTCTGCATTACATTATTACTTCAGAGAATCTGCATCTCAGAGTGTTTGTGGGAATCCAGGCTGTAATACCAACAACAAAGAATGTAGTGATACCACAGTGCTTGGGCCAAAGACTTCCAGCTTCTTCCCAGCCTGAGGAGTTGCTGTCCCAGCCACTACTTCATCCTGCAGAGCTTTTGACTGAATGGGGCATGTTTGAAATAGGGGTTTTTTTGAAGTTGTTCAGCAAACCAAGGGACTCAAAGCCAAGAGCTTCTACCCCATTTTTGGTGACCAAGGTACTGTATTGAACTGCGCATCCGCTGTGACGGCAATGTGCATGCACTCTCTGGCTGGCATGTGAAACACGCAGGCTGGCCCCTCCTGCTGCTACTCTTACACACCATCTACCAAACCTTCTCTCCTTAAATATTCAAGTCAAGTTGCAGAAACAGCATGAAGGATTTTCACACTGACTTACAGTAAAATAAGTAATTTTAATGTTTTTTTCCCTTTAGTCCTGTAAAGGAAAAATACATTAAGAGATTGATTCAGAACTAGTTGCAGGATTGTGTTTTTGGTAAAAGTGTATACAATTGCTAAAAAGTTCATTAAAAGGAGATTTAAGATAGGATCTTTTATTTAAGTAGATAGCAACTTCTGTAAGAATAAAAATAGTTGATTTCCACAATCCAGTCAGCACAAGTCTAGTATGTCATGTCTAGATAGCTGAAAAAATAGTTTTTCTTAATATTTTTATTTAATAAATTTTGTTTTCAAGGCTGATGTGCCCTCTTATGTTGCAAGATCAGGTGTAGATGCTAACTAAGCTTCCCACTCATTTAAAAATACACTAGTATGAACTCATTACAAGCAGTTACCATGCTGTGATTTCAATTTATAGGCAGAAATACATAGTGTCATAGCCTACTTGCATTAAAAATGTGCTAAATTTGGTTGTATCAGTGCAACAACAAAGAGGTATCCAAGTGGCACATGTGTGGGTTTAAGGATGAGTTCTGGTAGGTACCTGCATCTACCAGTGGGGCTTACACCACTGCAAGCAAACCTGGATGTAATTGAAAATTCTATGTCTGGGTTTGGATTACAAGACAAAAAAAAACCTTATTTCTGTTAAAAGCAGCTGCAACTTTTATTTTATTGACCAAAAATGAAGCCCCCCACCCCCTGCATCATACACACACACATAGAAAAGGCAAGACCATTGTAACCATTCAAGTGAAGGATATGGTGGGCAAACCTCCAGGACAGGCATCTCCTCAACACAGCTCATTCAGCACAGGTAATCCCACTCAGGTACTACAGTCTGTTTTGTTAAAAATCTCTACACACACACGCACGCACACGCACTCTGTGCATCGTTTCAGGTCGCTTTACTGCATAATTAAAACAAGAATAAAGTAATGAAAACATTGCAGTGATACAGCAACAGAGGTCTGAGGCACTCAGGGCAGAGATGTTTTCTGGCAAATTTGGAAGTAGACGAGTCCAGTTCTGTGAAGCACTAACCCTTTTCCCCCACCTAAATTCTGCAGTGCCAAAGGGAGCCAAGGGTATGCAGCACTTCATGTTCTTGGATCTGTGGCAACAAATTCACCAGACATTTTCTAAGAGGTGTATTTTATGCCCACGATTGTATGATTTTTAATGTCTGTGTTGGCTTAAGTTTCTTGTGTTACAGTGGTGTAAGATGAAGTCCACAATGGGGTCTGAAAAATTTTTCATTACAATTCAGAAGAAAAAATTTATTCCCTCAGCAGAGACACTAAAGATGATGGAAGGGAAATGGGCATGGAGAAAGAAAGGGTAGAGAAAAGAGAGGCTTAATCAATCCACACTCCTTAACACAACCATTTTCAGCTCACCACGACCCACTAACAAAATATAAAGGGGTATTTATACCAACGTTGCCCACTCTATACCCTGTCTGAGGAAAAAAAGATCAGTTTTCATAGCTGCCCCCCTAAGACTTCCCAAAAGCCTCAAACTCACTCAACCAAGGGGGAAGAAAATGACCCGTTTAAAAATTACCAAAAGAAAATGAATACAGTGTTGAAGGTGTTTCATTTTCACACACTCAGACTTGTTTTGAGATACTTCACTGTAAGTCTTGCAAATCCAATCCCCCACAGCTACTGTGGATGTACTTTTTAAAGATGCCCCACAGTTAACAGACGTAGGGATCCCATGAATCATGGGATCTTTTTGGTTCTTGTTGCATTCCTTTACCTAGGCAAGTCTGATACATCAGCTTCACCAAACTTTTGGTGCAGGAGGCTGCCTGCAAGTACTGCTTTGCCAAAAAGCAGCTTATTCCAGGCAGCTGCATATAAGACAGACTTTGTTAACTTCCCATCCTATCAAATCTCCAGCAAGAGAAACGAGTCCTGCCATTAACACAGTGTGCCACCCACAGTGGCAATCACCACCAGCAGAGAGATGGGGGCAGAATTAAAGGTAGCCCATTCTTGTACGTGCGTGTCTTTCTCCCTTCTGCCCCCTTCTCAACTGATAAACAAACAAGGCCCAAAATAGTATCTGCAGAAGTAAGAGCAAGTCTTTGGAATAAGAAATGCTTAAAATCTCAGGCGCCTCTCACAAACCAAGAGTGACAGGGCACACTGAAATGGTGAAAAAAACCTGGATCCCAAAATATCAAGTCCCAGTGGGAAAGCTTACCCACGCTTTTCTAGCTAATATCATGGCAGCAACAGAAGCAGTTGTGGGTCTAATTGGAAGAAAGGTGCTAAAGAGATAATTGAAGAAAAAAGGAAAGTACAGCGTGAGTGTTGTAGGTAGGAGGAAAGCAGGAAATTCTTTAAATTCTTCTCTGCTTTTGCAGACATTGGGTCAGGTTCTTCGAGATATTCCTCTTATCTACAATCACCGAGAACAAAGTAAATGGTGACATCTTTCTAGTCTGTACTCTTAAAAAAATGCATAGTACAGGGGCAAAAAATAGATATATATTTCTGGTTCTGATGCACCTGCTCAGTGTGGGCTATCACTGGGTCATGAAGTGGGGGCGAGTGCTGTCCAGGCGGCGGGTGAGGATCTCGCAGCCCGTGTCTGTGACCAGCAGCGTGTGCTCAAACTGTGCCGAGCGCTTCCCGTCCCTCGTCACTGCCGTCCAACCGTCAGGCCAGGTCTCGTCCTGCCAGCCCCCTGAAACAGAGAGCATTACTTCCTGCCAGCTTTTAAATAACAGCCATCACTCCCCCAAAGAGAAATGAAAAAATCTATCAGCTCTACAGGATAGAACCAGCACCCTGTTCCATCACTACTTAGGACAAACGAGAGTAACCATTTTACTCTACTGCTAAAACTGCTCACCTTCACAGATCATTGGTTCAATTGTAAATACATGGCCTGGCTTCATCACTCCAACTGCCTTGTTTTCTGCAATAAAATAAACACTCAAGTTAGAAAGAAGAACACCATGCTAGTAAAATGAACAAATCCTTGTCCTGACAGAATACAACAGAAACACAGTAAAGTCTGAAAAACCCTTCTGAGATGACCTGTTCACTTCTCCATTTTTACATATACATAAAAAT